ATGTATGTTTCTGGTAGAATGTCCCTTCTTTTTATTTATACTTGTAAAAATGTGACGGGGCCTGACTTTTAAGCTTGTCGTCCTCAGAAAATCATATAAAAACATACTGTCAGCTTCTCCTCTGTCAAATGGTCACTTTCAAGTCATAGCCTTTTTTTTTTATAAAAATACACTTTTATTACACGTATTTTATGTTATATTTAATGCAAATGAGAAAGGACTGACAGAAACATGGGGACAATTGTAAATTAATTTGTATTATTTATTTAAAGAATTTATTTAATGTTTTTAATCAATTGATGTGAATGATAACAACTTAAACTTAGCTATTTCTGAAGTTTTTTCTTCTAATAAACAGTTTTTAGCATAACAAAATCATTAAAGCCGTAGGCTCAATTGGGCTTAGGACAAGGACAATGACAGGGTTTGTACATTTGTAAAGTGTTTTTACTAAAGAAAAAAAAATCTGACAACCAAATGAATGACATATTTCTTAACTCACAGAAATCAGCCATCAGTCTATTTTAGAAATATTTGGGATGAAATACTTTTTATTCACTGTGTTTTTTATTTCAGGAACAGATAATGTACATCTCTGGTAGAATGTCCAAGAAATTACAATGAATACTGAATTATGATTATAAACAATAAATAAATGAATAAACACAGCCTACCACAATGAGTAAAATAATTTAATCATATAATTTATTATAAACTAAATACCCCCCAAATAATAGTTTAGATTTACTCATATTTGAATTTTCACAGATTAAATTGGTTGTTTATACAAGAAACCATTTAGGTCTACCTGTTAGAATGGGTCCCTTGCACGAACATAGGCCTAAATTAATATATATAAGTTCAGCATATTGTCTAAAAGTGCTATAATTAGCCTACATTAAGAGTGAAACTTTTGTAGCATCTTCAATTATACAGTGCCGGTGTGCTCAAAACAGTCCTCAACTCACCCACAGATGCACGAATCACCGGCGAGTTCGTTCACTAGGCGGCGCTATTGTAATGAAGGGACCTACAGTTAAGGAGACTTACAGTTAAAAGAGTGCATTTTCTAGCGCTTCTGTACAAGATCAGATTATTTGCTCGTCATGTCAAATACTTCATATCAGTGCATTTTGTTTTTTGATCTGGGGTTTACAGTCGACACTGCGTGAGAGCTGATTTCGTTCAACACTACAAGAATGATTCTGGTAGGAGACGCTTTTTCTCTATTTTGAGAAGTTCCCGATTTTTCAGTATCCGTGTAAAATGTGAAACGACTTTATGAGTGGAATATTGTATTAATGAGGCATGTGTATTTCTATGTTATTTTACCTTATGTTGTATTCTGTATGACAATGGTAGCTGATAAAAAATGTTTTACGAGACTTAAATTATATATAATATTTTACGAATGTTTGTTGGTTAAATGCATTATAGTAGATAATTATAAGACTATTTACATGACTAAAAAACATATAGTCTACATTTTTGAAAATATAATTAAAGGTCCTCAAGTAGCCTATACAATTGTAAAAAGATGAATCTTCGTGATGTATTGCCAAACGCGTAAAACTCTGAATTATTCAGTCGTGATCCATCAATATTTCTAGTTCAGTGGGCTAATGAAACATCTGGTTTCCTGTTCAGAAACAGATTATAGAGAAGGTGATTGTCACAGCGACACTGTAGGCTTTGTCTCAAACCCCAGTGAGTTCCCTACCTGTGTTTTAGGCGTGTAATATTTTAGGAACGATCCTGTAGCACCTCACAGTGCTGTCTAGGTAGTCAGGTTACTAGGTTTTGAAACACGGCCGTGCTGTTTGGTAGAGCGAGTTGTTCTGATTTATGATTCTGGTAGTGATACAGTCAATTAGGAGAGCTAAACAAACGTGAATGACAGCCCATTTCACAGCAGCACGCCTGACTCTCACCATTAATGAAAATCTCTGAATCAAGCTCAGAGCAAGAAAAGGAAGAGCTGTCATTTTGCTGCCACAGATGAAACAGGGAATCTGCACTAAAATAAAGATGAAAAAAGATGTTTTTTTGTTGCAACTATTTGTTCTCTAAAGTAACTTATACTGAACTATTTTATGAAAATAATTTTTCTTAGTGTCAAGAAAATGAATACATAATATTTTCACCATCAATACCCCTTTTTATCGATGAAAATGTGTCATCACTCTTGAAAAATAAAGGTGCCAGAAAACATCAAATAGGAGTTTCACAGTAAAGCAACTGAAGAATAATTCATTCATTCATTTTCTTTTCGGCTTAGTCCCTTTATAAATCAGGGGTTGCCACAGCGGAATAAACCACCAACTTATCCAGCATATGTATTATGCAGCCAAATTATATATTTTTTTCATAGGATCGGTGTGTTTAAGTTAGATTATCAACAAAGCAATAACGTCAGCTGCAGCAGATTAATTTTATAGCACCAGTTTAAACTTTCTGACACCTTTATGGCAGTCAAATACGTTAAAAATAAATACAGACGCCATCTAAATATTGAGAGAATGATCTCTGATTGGCAGTCTCCAAAATTAAACCAAGAATAGACTTGTGCTGAAAACATTGTGTCCACCAGTCTCTTTAGATGAGGTTAATACTAAATTAAACTAATTAATAAATGACTATTAAAAATAATATAGTTGTAAGACGGTTGCACTTTTTTGTGCTCGTGCCTATTGTTGTATGAGCAGCATTTGCATAAACACGTAAGAGAAATTTGGGGGTCGTGAGTCACTGGCATTGTTATTTTAGGGGTCACGGGCTGAAATGTTAAGGAACCCCTGTCCTAAAGAACCACCTATTTAAAGATTATTCAAAGAACCACTCTATCTGTCTTAAAGATAGATACTGTAAATATATATATCATTAAATTGCTATTGCTGTTCCATTTAACATCCAAAGAACCTATGTTTTCACGAAAGTTTATTTTACAATAAAATCCAAGAAAAAATGGTTAACGTATGGTAAGATACTTTGTAGAACTAATAATTATAAAACTGCATAATAACTGCATTATAAATAACTTAATGAGATTATATACAATTCAATGAATAAATAAATGCAGTATTACAAATGATTACGGCGACATGGAGGCTCAGTCATCTCACAGCTAAATTGTCACTGGTTTGAGTCCCAACTGGGTCACTTAGCATTTCTGTGTGTAGTGTGCATGTTTTTCCTGTGTTCGTGTGGGTTTTCTCCAGGTGCTACGGTTTCCCTCACAGTCCAAAAACATGTGGTACAGGTGAATTGAAGAAACTATATCTGCCGTAGTGTGTGCGTGTATGTGTGAATGTCAGAGTGTATGGACATTTCCCAGTACTGGGTTGCAGCTTTAAGGGCAACCGCTGTGTAAAAAATATGCTGGATAAGTTGGTGGTTCATTCCACTGTGGTGACCCTAGATTAATAAAGAGACTAAGCCGAAAAGAAAATGAGTGAATGAATGAAATAGGCTGTAGTGAATGTGTGTGAATGGGAGAGTGTATGGGTGTTTCACCCGGAGGTTGCAGGTGGAAGGGGCATATCTGTGTAAAACATATGCTGGATAAGTTGGCGATTCAATCCGCTGTGAAGATCCCTGATCAATAAAGGGACTAAGCTGAAGGAAAATTAATTAATTAATTAATAATTACAAAAAAAAACAAAACAAAAAAACAGCACTGCCAATAAACCTTTATGTTTTAGAAATATGTCTAAAAATAATTCATTTATTAATTTATAATCTTTAGAATTTAAGTACTGAATTTGTAAAAAACATGATGTATGTTTTAATTTATGCAAAGACAAAGACTGGACACACACACAGAAATGTGTCCCTCTTCAGTTTACATGATTGGAAACCACAGCGCACTTGTCCGTATCTGCATTGCCAGAGCAGTATTAATGGAATATGAAATAGAGTAAGATGAAGTCCGAGCAGGGTTTGCAGGGTTGGGAAGTCGGGATTGAGTTAAATTACTTTTCACATCGTGTCCACCTCAATTTATTAGGGAAGCCCCGAGAGGCAGCGCAGTCTTATTTACAAGGCAAAGAGACGGCTGAAAAGAGCAACAGATGTCTGGATTTTTCAAGCTGCTCTATACAACGTCTTGTCTCCATTTAGTAGCTTTAATGGATTTCAAAACCTCCATTTCAGCCCAGAATTAATGTTTGAATATGAAAATGACTAGTATACAACAGGCTTTGTGTGCAGGATACACTGAAAAAACAACCACTGAGGCAAATTAAAGATTTGTAGGATCACGTAAAACACAGAAAAGCACACTGTTTGATTTAAAGATTGTTAGTTATTAAACATGCCATTTGCCACAGCAGCTGTGTGGCTTTAAGTCTTTCTGTGATTTTCCGCACTTATCGCCGTGCACCACTTAAAATGTCTCATTTAAATAATTAAAAGCTTCTCATCCTGTCTCAATAATGTTCAGAGGAAGTCTCCTAAAATCCTTACCAGAGCAAGCATAATGGGAATATTTGTAAAAGAAAAAAAATAGGAAGTCTACGTTAACCTGCATCATGTTATTTTAATAAGTGATGCTCCCAGCTCGGTCTGCTTCTGTGTTCAGCCTTATCTTTTGAATGCCAGATGAAATGGACTGTTATTCAGTAATTAACAGACGGCGATGAAATCCTCTTAACAGTGATTGAGACTCGCTTTTTCCCTACTGACTTACTCAATCTTTTATTCCAGGGTGATCGATTGGATGGACGATTGCATTAACGTGGAAGGAGAAAAAAAATGCAGGCTCTGGATTTCAGTGCTTTCAATGGATACTGTTACAGATTAACACAGAAGAAATAATGGGCTGCGGTCAGCAGAGGAAGGCTATTACACTGTTGATGGCAAGAAAATTAAACAACACACTTAATAAAAGAAAAGCCCATCAGTAAAAAGCTATTTTTATATATACAGTTTGAATCAAACAACTTCCATACTGCTTTTTTTCTGCTGTTATCGTGTAAGTATTGACACAGAGAGGACTAATGATGCAGGAAAATGTGAGCTCCAGGATGGACACTCCAACCAATATCTCTTTGGTGGGCTCTGGAGATGCCGTGACAGAGTCCTTGGAGTATAAGACTGTTTCTGTATTTCTGGTCCTGCTGGTGTGTGGTGTGGGCATTGTGGGAAACATCATGGTGGTGCTGGTGGTTCTTACCACACGCCACATGCGAACACCCACCAACTGCTATTTGGTGAGCCTGGCTGTGGCCGATCTGATGGTCCTGGTGGCTGCGGGTCTGCCGAACATCTCAGAGAGCCTGATGGCATCCTGGGTGTACGGGCACGCTGGATGTCTGGGCATCACCTACTTTCAGTACCTTGGCATTAATGCGTCCTCCTGTTCAATCACGGCATTCACTGTGGAGAGGTAAAATAATAATAATAATAAATTATACATATAATTTATTTCTATATCTGTTATATTGTTTTGAACATTAATGATTTCAGTAATCTAAACATCAATGTTTACTTATTTGTGGTCATTATAAACTGAAATTTTTAATCATAAACTTCAATTCTTACTTCACTAAACTGCTATGAAACTTACTATATCACAAATGTCACTTACTATGAGCACAAAACGATTGTGTATTTGATTATAAATGAACAAAATGGGCATTTTAAAATTGACACGTTTTATTTTTGCACAATAAATAAGCTGCCATGAGAAATACACTCACCGGCTACTTTATTTGGTACACCTTACTAGTACCGGGTTGGACCCCCTTTTGCTTTCAGAACTGTCTTAATCCTTCATGGCATAGATTCAACAAGGTACTGGAAATATTCCTCAGAGATTTTGGTCCATACTGAGATGATAACATCATGCAGTTGCTGCAGATGTGTCGGCTGCACATCCATGATGCCAATCTTCCATTCTACCACATCCCCAAGGATGCTCTATTGGATTGAGTTCTGGTGACTGTAGAGGCCATTTGAGGACAGTGAACTCATTGTCATGTTCAAGAAACCAATCTGAGATGATTCACGCTTTATGACAGGGTGCGTTATACTGCTGAAAGTAGCCATCAGAAGACGTGGCGTTGACATGATGCTCAATTGGTACTAGTGGGCTCAAAGTAAGCCAAGAAAATATCCCCCACACCACTACACTACCACCACACCAGCCTAAAGCGTTGATCCATGCTTTCATGTTGTTAATGCCAATTTTTGACCCTATCATCTGAATGTCGCAGCAGAAATCGAGACTCATCAGATCAGGCAACGTTTTTCCAATCTTCTATTGTCTAATTTTGTTGACTGTATATTGAATCCCAAAAATTACTCTTTATTTACATACACTTTATAAGGTACACGTGTCCAACTGCTCGTTAACACAAATTTCTAATCAGCCAATCACATGGCAGCAACTTAATGCATTTAGGCATGTAGACATGGTTAAGACGATCTGCTGCAGTTCAAACCAAGTGTAGAATGGATAAAAAATGTTATTTAAGAGACTTTTAAAAGATGCATGCTTGTTGGTGCCTGACTGGCTGGTCTGACTATTTCAGAAATTGCTGATCTACTGGGATTTTCATGCGCAACCATCTCAAAAAAAATTTTCAAAAAATGAAAATATCCAGTAAACGGCAGTTCTGTGGGCGCAAATGCCTTGTTAATGCCAGAGGAGAATGGCCAGACTGGTTGGAGCTGATAGGAAGGCACCAGTAACTCAAATAACTACTCATTACAACCGAGCTATGCCGAAGAGCATCTCTGAACACACAACATTTTAAACCTTAAGGCAGATGGGCTACAGTAGCAGAAGACCACACTGGGTGCCACTTCTGTCAGCTAAGAACAGGAATCTGAGGCTACAATTCACACAGGCTCACCAAAATTAGACAATAGAAGATTGGAAAGAATGTTGCCTGGTCTGATGAGTTTCGACTTCTGCTGCAAAATTCGGATGGTGAGTTCAGAATTTGGCGTCAACAGCATGAAAGCATGGATCCATCCTGCCTTGTTTCAACGGTTCAGGCTAATGGTGGTGGTGTAATGGTGTGGGGGATATTTTCTTGGCACACTTTGTGCCCATTAAAAGCCCAACAAATCTGCAGCAACTGCATAATGTTATCATGTCAATATGGATCAAAATCTCTAAGGAATATTTCCAGTACCCCTGTTGAATCTATGCCACATAGGATTAAAGCAGTTCCGAAGGCGAAAGGAGGTAGTAGTAAGGTGTACCTAATAAAGTGGCTGATTAGTGTATAATTACCTACAATAAATCACATAACATTCACCAGAAAAAAATCCTTTCTCCATGCACAGGGTGCATAGAGGTATACAATTACATATTTTGACAGGCAGGTCAGACAGCCTATCATAACATTTGACACCAAATATTTTGATTGGACATACTTTTCTTGGTTCTACACCTTCCACAGAATAATAAAACATATGTAAATACATTTGGACCACTTTATTTAACAATGCTATCAGGATGTGAAAAGACTGTTAACCAAAATATCTACAAATGAACATTTTCTGTATATTGTGATTCATGTTTTTCCATTTATTTATGCTTTTGAACTGTGTTATGGGATCCTGATCTTCCCTCCAAATCCTTTTATTGTTGGAAAGTTTGAAAATGGACTTTTGTTGATATTTTTATTAGTTTAAAGTTATATATTTCCCTTTTGTGTTGTAAATTACTGTACAAAATCTGGTAATAACTGCTAGTACTTGTTTAGTTATTTTACAGATTAAAATTCTCTCTGTATTATTTCTTAAATAATATCTTGTCTCAAACTAAAAAAATCCCTTTGTTAATCTGGAGTTAAACATCAAAATTCGACAGAGCAGAGATAAAACTGCCAACCATAAATAAACAGAAAACACCTTGTTTGCCACAAAATACCAAATATAAATTTTTTACAGTGTAGTTTTTGGAAACAATCGCCAATTGCGCCTAACAAACTTATAAACATCAAAATCTCCTCTTGCTTCTACAGATACATCGCCATATGCCACCCAATGAGGGCGCAGACCGTGTGTACAGTATCCCGAGCCAAGCGCATCATAGCTGTTGTGTGGGTTTTCACCTGTGTTTACTGTATGCTCTGGCTCTTCCTGGTGGACATCCAGGTGAATCCTGACGGCAGAGTGCAGTGCGGATACCGTGTCTCTCGAGATCTTTACCTGCCCATTTACCTGATCGACTTCACCATCTTCTATGTCATTCCTTTACTCCTGGCCATCGCTCTTTATGGTCTCATTGCCCGAATCCTGTACCTGAATCCTCTGCCGCATCCGCCGGATTCGGGTACCGTCATTGCTCCAACTCTTAGAAGAAGCTGCAAAGAACCGGCTGATGGAGGGAAAGCAATTCGTCAGGGACGCCCTAAGAGTGCACTTTCTTCTCGGAAACAGGTAAATGTGTGTGAGTGTGTGTGTCTGTGTAATTTTGCATTTAGACAATTAATTCTGCATTTTGATATCCACTGAGATTGCAGTGGAGGGTAAATGAGGGCCATTCCTCTGCTCCTGCACTGTGGCTTATGATTATTATCGCATATTTGTTTTTTGAAAGGTCACTTCTTTTTTATGACAAGGATGTTTCACTCTACTAAATGTCAATTGGTAGAGAGAAGAGTGTGCTGATATTTCCTGGTGCAGTTTAAATTGTAAAATAGCATTAAAGGGCATTTTGCCTTAGTTTAGGGGAGTTAAGATTTATGTTTTTATTTGATTGCGTTGTAGTTTTATCTTTAATTTGATGTTGAATACCCTTTACAAATGCAAGGTTCAACACAATTCATTCCTGTTGTCCCAATACAAATCAATTAAAGGGCGCCTATGATGAAAATCAAGCTGTTTGGACAGAACTGTGTGTAGGTATAGTGTGTCCACAGTCATATTGGAGTAATATAAACACAGTCAGTGTCTTTTTAAAAACTTCCTGACCTTAGAATAGGATTTATCTTCTACTTTGAGGGTCACCACAATGTGATGTAGGGGTGCGGTTTCCCTGCCCATGGAATTGAATGACAGCCACGCATTAATATGTCTCCATAGCAGCGTATATATTCAAATCAACAAGACAGAACGTGCACAAAGCAACCAGGATTAAAAGATCTGTTTTGCTCTCTGTGATCATCAATCATCATCAAGTGTGATCAAGAATGAGTTTTAAAACAGTGCATGTTTGTAATTAATGGCAGCGATTTTACCATCTTTACTTTATCACCACAGCCGCATGTCAGAACAATTATAAAAGGCACTTTAATTCTGGTTTGTGGACGTTAAATCAGGTTTAATTTGTACATTAACATAACAGATATCCACACTGCACAGATATCCTGTCACATTTGCCGTGCAAAAACAGTGCAAAGTTAAACACATGCTGTATGTGTGTGTCTGTGTGCGTGAACTTTGTAACAACCTTTTCGTTGCAGAATTAACTCCACAACAAATACATCAACTAATCATTGGGAAAGTTCTTGCTAGTCACAAATGTTATGTGAGATCTGCTTCCTTCATGTCTGTCACGGTGCTGTTTATCTGATGCAGCCAAGGTGGAGATTGAGGCACACTCTGACAGGCATGTGGTAACGGTGGGTGGTGAGAACTAGCATTAAAGGCACAGGCAACAATAACAGCTACATTGTGTTTAGAGCAGAAAATCCCAATAATCTGAAAGATATAATCAATAATCAGATAGAGGTTTTGAGTTGAAACTTTACAAACACATTCTGAAGACACAAAAGACTTATTCTAAATCTTGAAACGGGTGAAATTGGTAAGCTTAATGTGTGTTTCTGTTTTAATTCATTTAATAGTATTTATTTTAGCTTGTTTTTTTCACTTTTATTTTTAATTACGTTTTCTTTTAGTAAATCAGGCTAAAGTCTGGCTTATTCATGGTTAAATAAAACTAAAATAACTTACCTAAAATTACCATTAACTACAATTAAATATTGAGTGCTTTGATATTTTACTGTTGCGAAATATAATAAAAACATTTTAAAGTTCACAATTTTTTAGCAATTGTGAAAAGAGTTCAAATTCAAATGTAGTACATTTTCAGACACTATGCAATAGTCCAAACCATTATGAAGATTCATTCATTAATTATTTTCTTTTGGCTTAGTCCCTTTATTCATCAGGGATGCCACAGCGAAATGAACCGCCTACTTATCCAGCATACTGTATGTTGTTTCCAGCTACAACCCGGCACAACCATATTATGATATACACTCACCAGCCACTTTATTAGGTACCCCTGTCCAACTGCTCGTTAACGCAAATTTCTAATTAGCCAATCACAAGGCAGCAACTCAATGCATTTAGGCATGTAGACATGGTCAAGTCGATTTGCTGCAGTTCAAACTGAGCACTAGAATGGGGAAGAAAGATGATTTAAGTGACTTTGAACTTGGCATGCTTGTTAGTCCCAGACAGGCTGGTCGGAGTATTTCAGAAACTGCTGACCTACTGGGATTTTCTCGCACAGCCATCACTAGGGTTTTACAGAGAATGGTCAGAAAAAGAGAAAATATCCAGTGAGCGGCAGTTCTGTGGGTGCAAATGCATTGTTAATGCCAGAGGTCAGAAAAGAATGGCCAGACTGGTTCCAGTTGATAGAAAGGCAACAATAACTCAAATAACCACAATCGAGGTATGCAGAAGAGCATCTCTGAATGCACAACACATCCAACCTTAAGGTGGATGGGCTACAGCAACAGAAGACCACACTGGGTGCCACTCCTGTCAGCTAAGGACAGGAAACTGAGGCAACAATTCACACAGGCTCCCCAGAAATGAACAATGGAAGATTGGAAAAACGTTGCCTGGTCTGAAATAGGAGATTCGCATAATGGATGTGCAGCTGACAAATCTGCAGCAACTGCGTGATACTATCATGTCAATATGGACCAAAATCTCTGAGGAATATTTCCAGTACCTTGTTGAATCTACGCCACGATGGATTAAGGCAGTTAATGAAGGCAAAATGGGATCCAACCCGGAACTAGCAAGGTGTACCTAATAAAGTGGCCGGTGAGTGTATATATCCTCGTCCAAGCAGGTGGCCATAAAAGTCAGGCAACGAAATACAGATTATGTTTAACCAGGACTTAGTGCAAGATATAGGTATAAGTTATAAACGCAATTAAAGAAATCTATGGGCAATATGTACAGACGGATGAACATAATATACACAAGTTGTATCAACTATAGTCAGATATTTACAAATAGATGAACATACTGTACAGGTTACTATTAATAATCAAAGTACACAAATAGATATGAACATAATATACAGGTTGTTAGCTTCAAAATGGAAGTCATTTGTACTAAATGCTTCCTAAAAATAGTCATTTTTAGGCTGAAAGCTGTATGCAACACAGTAACATCTTAGAGATATTACAGATAGAGAGCAAACATCTGAGCTCATTGTTTATGATGTGAAAGGCTACCTAATGGCAGAATATCATTATATAGCAGGTCATTAGGATCTGTCTCATCAGAAGAGAGGCATTAGGGGCCATCAGGATTGGGTCTACATTACCATCAGTGCAGCAGACGTGGCTGTGTTGTGACACATGATGGGCTCTCTGACACTAGAGATATGATCTGCACCTGCATACAGCCAAAATACAAAAGCCATCAAGACATACAAGGGCCAAGAATTTCAGATCTTGGGTATGCGTAAGGTTTGAAGGGTTGCATTGAAGATGATTTGAGGATGAATTTATTCAATCTCACATACATATTGATACAGTTTACACTGATGTGTAAACCACCTAGGTATCCATCATTTATGTATGTATATATATAAAAATGGGAATAAAATATAGAATAAAACAAATTTTAACTATTTTAAACTATTACTATTTAATTACTTTTAATTACTACGTAGTTACTTCTAATTTCTATTTAATTACTCAAACACATGCCATACACAAAATATAAATAAAAACAGCAACACTATCGATTTTTTCATTCGCTATCTGGACAATGATACATTATATTTTCATCCAAGTACTGTTTAACAGAGAGAAGATATTTTACAACACATTTAAACAATACTTTTGATTTTTTTGCCTTTGCCATGATGATGGTACATGATGGTTTCAGTTAATTTGGAAGATACTAGTATTAGGATTAAAGTGCAATTTAAATGAGCAACTAGGTTTTTTAGACAAGTCACTGGACAAAGGTGTTTTTTCCTGTTGCAATAAAAAATAAAAATATAATAAAAAAACGTAAAGGGAGTAATATTGTTGACCTTAAAATTGTTTTAAAAAAATAAAAAAACTGCTTTTAATCCAGCTAAACTAAAAGAAATAGAATTGTTCTAAAGGAAAAATATTATAGGAAATACTGTAAAATTATCCTTGCTTGATTAAACTTCATATTTCATATATAGGTAATATTTTAAAAAATATTTTAAAAATCCACAGAAGGGCTAACATTTTTTAATAATATTGAGCTTTCATATGTTTTTATTTAAGTTTGATTTTTGAAGTTTTTACATCCAGTTAAGCTTAGAAAAAAAAAAAAAATATATATATATATACTTTAAACAATAATTAAAATAAAATATATATTTTAAAAACTTTAAATTTAATTATTTCAGCTGTAGTTGTCAAGGATTTTTGCCATTTAGTTGATCTAAATGGCTATGATATCTAAAATACCTGAACTCATTCATTCATTTATTTTCCATTGGCTTAGTCTCTATTTTAGAGGTCGCCACAGCAGAATGAACCGGCAACTATTGCAACATTTGTTTACGCATCATATGCCTGTTCAGTCAAAACTAAGTACAGGGAAACACCGATACAGGCTTGCGTTCTCACATACACTCATACACTACGGCCAATTTAGGTTATTCAATTCACCTATAGCGCATGTCTTTGGACTGGAAACCTACACTAATGCAAACGCCCCACAGAAATGCCAATTGGTCCAGCTGGGACTCAAACCAGCTCGACCTTCTTGTTGTGAGGCAACAGTGCTAACCACTGAGCCACAGCGCTGCCCTACAACTGAACTATAAGATTAGAATAAATTAAGTATTTAATAAATATCTTTATTAATAAATGAATTTATAATCTAATAATTATTCTATTTTCATTCAATAGATTTAATACAACTACAATCATTATGACACTGAAATGAAAAAAAAAAAAAAAGAAATAATGCACCGCCAATTATTTAAATATATTTGAATAAATAACAAAAAAACAAATAGGTACATCAGGTAATAGACTGAAAGGATGAAAAAAATATTTTTTTTGGAAAATAATTGCTGTACACTGTACACTGTGAAACACAATAAAAGGTTGCTTTTGTTCTAATCATCTGCAGCAGCGATGTGCAAAGTCTCTATTTTAGAAATGGTTTCTATTTCTGCGACGTCATGG